TATCAAGTTGTACAATTATGATTTGTGCACATTCCTGCATGCATGTTCAATAAAAAATAAAAACAAAATTAAACAAAGTATGGGCCAAAAAAAAGTAAGTCTTCAAGCTAACAAAGGGCTGTGGGCTTCCAGTTTGCTCTATAATGTATAGACTTCTTTAGAGAAAACAGCACAGCACGTTCTGTTTTTTTAAAAAAAAAAAAAGCAAAAAACGTACACTTTATAATGCAGGTAAATGTCCTCTGTGCGTGATTTCCCTAGAATAACTCCTACAATGTCCAGTGAGGAATTTGTCTTTCCCTCTGGGTCCTTTATCCAGCCTCATATTTACCCTTATATGCGATCCAAACTTATTGTTCAATCTTGTTCTCAAATTAGAAAAATAAATCCATATATTCCACATGCCAAGCCATGACTATCAGTAGTGGAGTCAGAAACCACAGATGCTCAGGAACCCAGAGGCAATTTCACAACGTAGGGTGTAGTCTATTATACATTAGGTTGAGAGGCTCACAAAACACAACAGCGATTTCAATTTCTGGTAGTTGTGAGACATACTGAATTGAAATAATTCATCTAGGAAATAATGAATGTCTTAGCCTGAGCCATGGACCATGAGCAGAGAATCAATCAGATGTAAAAGAGAGGTTTTTAGAATCTATGTGTTTGGGGGAATTTACCTACTGTCCCTATACGAGCACATCACAAAGGTGCTTCAATTCAGGCAATTGATGGTGTTGAAAAGCTGTTTCAGCTGGTGAAGACTGCAGTCTATGAATTTATGCACAGGTTTGGGTACTGGGGTGTCTAGAGTTCGGAAGAAATGATTGTCTCAGGAGTTGATGAGAGAGTTACGGACATGGCAGAATTTGGGAACTAAATCATGGTTCCTAAAAGCAAGAGCTAGAGAAGAAGAATGGAGTAGGGGTATGGATTAGGGGAGTTTGAGAAACGTAGAACCTTCTAGAGGAAGTCAAATTGCATAACTCAGGGCCAAAAAAGGTGTTCCAGGATTAGGGATGAAACCTGAAAAGGACTCAAATAGGGCTGCCCAAGGACAGAAATTCTAGGGACAAAGAGACTCCAAATACAGCAGACCTGAACACTTGGGGTCCCTGACAACCTTGGTTGTTATGGCAGTACATTATAAACAATACAAAAATTTCCCAGGGAGGTATTATCCTAGGTTTAGAGAATCTGCCTCGCCACCAGGAAAGTGGTCAATTGTACTAGGAAAGTTGTCTGAAAATGCAGGAGCTAGGCTAGTGTCTCACTTTTAGTCTCAGAGAGGACTGCTTTCTCAAGAATATTGCCCAACATGTATCACAACCTCATACCTATTTTGGTTTTTTTGTTGTTTGTTTTGAGACAGTCTCGCTCTGTTGCTTGGGCTGGAGTGCTGTGGCATCAGCCTAGCTCACTGCAACCTCAAATTCCTGGGCTCAAGTGATCCTCCTGCCTCAGCCTCCTGAGTAGCTAGGACTACAGGTGCTCACCACCATGCCCAGCTAATTTATTTTTGTTTCTATTTTTAGTTGCCTGGCTAGTTTTTTCTATTTTTTTTAGTAGAGACGGGGTCTCACTCTTGCTCAGGCTGGTCTCAAATTCCTGAGCTCAAGCCATCCTCCCACCTTATCCTCCCATAGTGCTAGGATTACAGCGTTAGCCACCACGCTCTCATACCTGTTTTAAACCTTTGTCCTTTCCACCTCGATAGTACTAAAACATGGTTGTTATAACTCAATGAACTAGTAATTCCATACTTCATGCTTTATTTTTACCATCTCTATAATGAATACTCTCTACCATACGGATTTACCTTTCTTTAATGCCTTTCATGAAATGGGATAAGATGCTACCACTAAAGGGTATCAGAACCACCTGAACTAAATATTAATTTTCCATGTATTTGGATTAACACTGGTCTTCCTTCCCTAATGTGGACGGAGGTGAGAAAGAACCTTCATGTTAAGTGGCTTTGAATCTTGAGTATTCATGTTTATTGTACATTTTTTAATTCAGAATGACTGGGTTTTGTTTGTTTTGTTTTTTTGGAGTAGGGGAAGCCTGTAAATTGAGAAGAGGAAGAGAACAAGGCAGGCACCAATCAGGGACATGGCCAAGACAAGACAGTCGTACAGCTGACTCTCAGGCCTTTGTGGAAACCACATGGCAGGAAGGTTTGGGGAAATTACCCTTTACCAGCTAGACTCCAGTCCTGCACTGAATTCAGCGCCGGGTCCCATCTGATGGAAACTCAAGAGAAGCCCATGCATGACTCAGCTTCCTCCAGTGGCCAGACTGCCTGGCTCTGTAGGCAGAAGCAGCAAGAGACTAAAGGTTTTTTTCTCTCTTGAATAAGCCCAATTACTTGAAAGTGAAGTACAATAAAACTAGCCAAAAGTGGTCTCTTCTAAATCAGCTTAGGTACACACCTTCTCCGGTAAGTACTCCCATATTTGCTGATCCCACCCCTACACCCCTGAGCTGGGTTGCTTGACCCTTTGTTCTCTTGGCTCCCAGCCAAAAGCCCTATCACTGCATTCACCCCAGTATGATGATCTGTTTCCGTATCTCACTAGACAGGTGCTTCTTAACTTTTTTGTGCCTTTGGCAGTCTGCTGAAACCTATGGACCAATTCTTTTTTTTTTTTTTGAGACAGAGTCTCACTCTTTTGCCTGGAGTAGAGTGCCGTGGCGTCAGCCTAGCTCACAGCAACCTCAAACTCCTGGGCTCGAGCAATCCTACTGCCTCAGCCTCCCGTGGACCAATTCTTAAATAATGTTTTTCAATGCATAAAATAAAATACACAGGATTACAAAAGGAAGCCAATTACAGTGAAATATGTAGTTCATAACTCCAGACATCTGGTGTCTGAATTCCTTGAGTGCAAGGATTATGTTTTAAGATTATGTCTTAATCTCTGTACTGCCAGTGCCTAGCACAAAGCCTGGCACATAGATGGTACTTAAACATGTTTATTTAATGAATGAATAGAAAGAGAAATGGCTAGTGCCACGTCAGCCTGAGGAGTGATTCATTGCTATTGCTTATGTACATACCAATGGCTTGCTTATGTCTCACCCCTAGACCAGGGCTGTGAGGGAACCCACACTCAACAACAGGTACCCCAGCATCTAGCAATAATGACAGGCTACTAGAAGACCAGGAAAACAACAAAGCTCATGTATTTTACCAGCCAGAATATTCATATAGTGAAAGCAAACAGGCTCTGTCTTGAGGGGGAGAGCTCTTGACTTTGGAAGCACGATGCTCACACTACCTTAAAACACTACCAACAGCTCTGATGGAGGAAAGAAGGGAACCTGAGCTAGCATGTGTCTGTATTCTCTAGGGCACCTCTCCTGTCCTGAACTGGTCCTCTCATCTCTGGGAAAGAGAAAATTGTTCTAAAACCACAATAGGGATGAGATGTGCCTTTCTAGGTTCAAGCAGTACGTTCAGTCATAGACAGAAATTTTGTTTATGTACCAACAAAAAACCTAAAGAAGCAGGAAATAAAAGCCACTCCCCTCACTAAAGATATTAATACATAAAGAGCCAAAGATTTTATCTAAGTTAATTGCTATGTCAATTAAATATTTTGAAAAGAAAAAGAAAACCGCAGTTTTAAAGCTAAAATCTACAACTGTATGGGATTCATAAATCTCATTCTTAAGGTATTTAAGAGTGATCCCCCCAAGTTAGAGGGCTTCTTTAGCTACATACAGCCACCTGAGGGATGGCAGAATACAATTTTCACTTGCTTGATGGGGTTTCTAACATCTGTTGAAAGAAACATGGCTTTAGGTAGATGCCTTCTTAAAAGACAAAAAAAAGAAACTACAGGTCAAAGTTTTGTTTTTAATAATAATAAAAAAAATCCTCCCACTCCTAAGGTGTGTGCTTTCTTTTTTAACCTATTTTTCCTTTAAGTTGTCTGCAGTTTCCCTATATTTTTCCTAGTGCAGTAAACAATGCAATCAAAGAAATAAAAACCAGGATCCACTCTTGCCCCAAACACTGAAGAGGGTCAAAGAGAAAGAATCACAGCACGGAAAATGGCCCAGCTCTAAATATACAAACAACATTTAAAAAAAAAAGGAAAACAAAACAAAACAAAACAGCCCCCCCAAGACATTATTATTGACATTCCTGGTATTATATAACGTTGAAGACAATGCTTCTTTCCCAGGGAGTCCAGCTCACTCAGGAGGAGCCATCTAGTCGGTGCTGCAGCAAAGGCTGGGGGTGTTGAATCTTCCCTGCCAAGCCTAAAGCTTTTTATGAGCTCAGTATCTCACAGAAACATCTGTGGTACAAATGAATCTAAAAGGAGATGAAAGCAGGCAGGCACCTGTCACTGTTCTCCAAATCAGCCAAAAAGCTGAAGAGCGTGGGATCCAGGAGGCAGATGCCATTAAGAGTTGAGGGATGGAGGGCAGAACGAGAGGAAGCACCAAATGGGTGGCTGCTTTTGGTTCCAAAGCCAAAAAATGGCCCCACCAAAAATGGCAGCTCGTCTGGATAAGGAATTCCCCTGCTCCAGGAGTCATGCAATAGAAATGATGGCCTTGGAGCTCCAACCCCATGACAGCCACAGTCCAAGAACCAGAGCAATTTTCATGACATCACAGAGTTTGCAAATGAATGGACTGATACTGGTTTAGGAGGGTAAGTGCTTTGACAAAGTGCAGGGCAAGATGAGCTATCCCCTTGAACCCCAAAGCATAGCTGTGACATCCAAGGATTTCTATTTCTGTGAAGCCATAGGCCACTGCTGCCACCTTCTCTGTGGAGATGCACCCTTCCACCTATCACCTGCCTCTTCTCAAAATGGCCCTATGTAGTAACCTTTGGAGATCTCAACAGGCATCAGTTGTACCTCTGGAAGTAAGATAATTTCCTTGCCCCATCCTCACCAAAGCACTTCCCTTTTTAAGCTAGTGCTGGCACACCACCTTTTCCCTCCAAGCAGAGTTCAACTTCCTTTTGTTTCAGAGTTTTGCTCTGGCCTTTTTAGGGCCCTTTCCAGGGTACAAAATAAAGTGCCCTTCTGCATCCACATGTGAATGAGTTGCCTTCCAGTGTCAGATCCAAGATCCAGAGTTTGGTCAATGCATCTTTACAAGAATAAAAACACATGCTTACACAGACAAGACTCGCCTGGAAATGGCTTTCTGGACAGGGTTTCTGGTTATCTTGATGCCTCCCCTAAAGGCAATTACTTTCTTGGTATAAGACGATTAGGACACTGAATGACCTACTCTCAACTTCCGGAAGGGCAGCTTGTTTTGTCCATTTTTCGATGCGGGGGTGAGAGGAACCCAACATTTTCAGTTACAACAACAAGATTTTGTTTTTTAAAAAAAGGATCCTATGTGGAAATGAGTGGGACAATGATAAAAATAAACAAATAATTAAAATTCCAAACCAAAACGTATCTCCTGGCCCCGAGACCCCCAGTTAATCCTCTAAGACCACAATCTCCACATTGTGGACTTGATGCTGGTGTTCTTCCATCTCAGCCACAACTTTCTCCTCAGTCCTCAGCTCTGTCTCCAAGATGACTGCTTTGCCCTCAGTATCTTCAGCCTCTGGGTCTGGGGCTGGGTCAATCTCAATGATGGTCTGCCCATCCTCTGAGGTGCTTTCGACAGCCTGGATGGCTGAGGTCAGGCCGGACTCCATGGCCACCAACTCCACAGGGCTCACCATGGTGGTCATGTTGCCCAGGGTACTCCCATCCTGCATGGCAGTGGAGCTTAGCAGTGCCAAGCTGGATGAAGGGTGGATGGTCACTGTGTCTGGTGAGCTGCTCTTGGCAGAGGAGACCACCGTGGCATAGCGGAAGAGCTGAGGGCCAGAAGGCAGTGTGTGGACAGTCACAGGACTAGAGCCCTGGCTGAGCGTGGCCACTGGAATATTGCCCATGGAAAATGACTGACCCACTGGGGTGATGGTGATGGGTGAGATGACTGTGAACTGAGGCTGCTGGACAGGAGGAGAAGGGCTCAGGACAGTGGTGGAGGCTGGCCGCTGGAGCCGGGGCCTTTTTGGAGGCTTAGGAGTGCTCACAGGCATCAGTACCACATTTTGAACCGTCTGGGATTTCTGCCTGTGATCCTGAGCTTGCTTCTTCTGCTCTTCCAACTGGCGTTCCAAGTCTGTGCAAAAAAAGAAAAGACTTTGTGGGGAGGAAATAAAACCTCTGGAGAATTAAACTGGGAGTTAAGAGGCCTGGGGTCTTGCTACGAAATAGCCTTGAGCAAGTCACTTTACTGTTTTTAAAATGAAGAAACTAGACTGGATGATTTAAAAAATCCCCCCAGTAATTACATTTCATTGTGTAATTATAGGCTGGGCAACAATTCAGAATCTTTTACAAGCTGTGATTCTACATACTCAATCCTAGAAGCTCTTCTGGCATTTAGTCACGTCATCAAATGCAAATCAAAGAACCCTCCAGTTGGTCTTATAGCTTGAATATGCCCTGTCTGAGTCTATAGATGAAAATAAGCATTATCTGCATGATCCCTTTGGAATTAGAGCTACAATGGCCACTCTGAAAAACAGTGATTCTCAAACTGTCCTTCAAAGCAGAAATGCCTTAGCTGTATTGGCTGGAAATCTCCTTTGCTGGTGACCTAAAAGGACGCAGTCTACCATTATTCCAGGGAAGCCTACAGAAAGTTACAGAGGAATTCTCTATTACTTAGTACCTGAAAAGAATCCAAGAAATAATCAGTTACATTTGTAGAGCACTTTGTACTCTATGTGCCATATTGTGATATAATAAAAAGTATATACATTTGGTCTCTGCCCCTAGTTGCTGGTACACAGTTCCTAAAACACTTAGATCTACAGAGTGATAAGTGTCTTTTTGTATCCTCATGAGATGACTGATATCCGAGGGCTGCAAGATAGCTTCAGGATGGGGGGCTGGTCACCCAAAAAACCAAGGCAGGATTAGAGGGCTGGGACTTTTAGTCTTACCCCACAACCTCCGGAGTGGAGAGGGGCTGAAGGCCGAGTTCACTAATGGCCAAAGAGGCAATAAATTATGCCTAAGTAATGAAGCCTCCATAAAAACAAAAAAGGACAGGAATCAGAGAGTTTCAGATTGTTGGAGGTTCCTGAGAGTGGCATACCCAGAAAGGGCATGGAAGCTCCACACTCTTTCCCACGTATCTTGTCCTATGCATCTCCTCCATCTGGCTATTCACCTGTATACTTTCTAAAATAACCTTTATAACAAACACCGTAAATGTAAGTAAGCGTTTCTCTGAGTTCTGTCAGCCATCTAGCAAATTAATCGAACCCAAGGAGGGGGTTGTGGGAACCCCAATTTATAGTCAGTTGTTCAAAAGCACAGATTACAACCTGGGGCCGAAGTGGGGGGCAGTCTTGGAGGACTAAGCCCTAAACCTATGGAATCTGATGCTATTTCCAGGTAGACCGTATTAGAATTGAACTGAATTATAGAACACCCAGTCAATGTCTGCTGGAGAACTGATTGCTTGGTGTGTGCAGAAAACCCCCTACACATCTGGTTATATAGAAGTTTTCTATGCCCTATTGTGTGAGTGTGTGAGAGCAGGAAAAACACTTTGGTTTTTCTTTCCTATCTTATACTACAGAGACTATAAAGTCAGTTCCTTGCTTGGAACAAAAAGACACCCACAAAATTTATAAAATACTGCCTTTTAAGGCAACAAAATACTGAAATACTGCATTTTTTTCATCTTCAGTAGTAATCAAAGAAATGTGTACCTAAACAAGGTACTAATTAAATCTATAACTAAAAGAAATTTAAATCAGGGAATGTTATAAATACCCTGACACTCAATGTTGGTATGCTCAAACTAGTGACATAAATTGGTATAATCTTCTTGGGAATTTGACAACAGGTCACAAAAATCCATAAAAACATTATCAATACCATTTAAACTGAAGCCTAGTCCTGGGAAGTAGTTTAGAAGGACATAAAAAATAAAAAGTTACTGTCAAACAAGTTCAATGTTACAAAATATGCTACTAAAGAAAATACAGAAAATTAACATGTCATCCCTAGAATGTCCAGGTAAGACACTGTATGGTGATTTGGAAAAATATTAATATGTCATGGTCAAAAAAGATACAAAACCCGGCCGGGCGCGGTGGCTCACGCCTGTAATCCTAGCTCTCTGGGAGGCCGAGGCAGGCGGATTGTTTGAGCTGAGGAGTTCGAAACCAGCCAGAGCAAGAGCGAGACCCCGTCTCTACTAAAAATAGAAAGAAATTATTCAGACAACTAAAAATATATAGAAAAAATTAGCCGGGCATGGTAGCACATGCCTGTAGTCCTAGCTACTCGGGAGGCTGAGGCAGGAGGATTGCTTGAGCCCAGGAGCTTGAGGTCGCAGTGAGCTATGATGACGCCACTGCACTCTACCCGGGGTGACAGAGCTAAAACTCTGTCTCGGGGAGAAAAAAAAAAAAACAAAAAACCTAAAAAAATAATACAGGCCAGGCAGTGGCTCAGGCCTGTAATCTTAGCACTTTGGGAGGCTAAGGCAATAGAATCACTTGATGCCAAGAACTGGAGACCAGCCTGGGCAACAGCGAGACCTTGTCCGGACAAAAAAAATAATAATTAGCCGGGCATGGAGGCTGAGTTGGGAGAATTGCTTGAGCCCAGGAGTTTGAAGTTGTAGTGACCTATGGTGATGTCACTGCATTCTAGCCCAGGCAACAAAGTGAGAACCTGTCTGAAAAAATAATAATAATATCAATACCAACAAGGAACCAAAAGCCCACATTTCTAACAAAAAACATTTTTCTGATGATTTAAAGTGTCAAGGTGAAAGAAAGCACTACATTAGGAGTAAAATGATAGAGTTCTACTCTAGGATTATCTGTCAAGTAGTGATGTGGCCTCAGGCAAATCATTTATCCTCTCCGTGCCTCTACTGGGTAACCTGTAAAATAGGGATAATAGACATCCTAGAATCCTTAGGAGGATCAAAGCTCAGTAAACTGAGTTTAAAGTATAAACTGGATATAAAAGTAAGTTTAAAACAAACTAAATTATCCTTGTCTTATCAAATGATCCTAACCCTTTTGGCTTCACAATGAACTATAACAGATTCTACATTATTCAAAGGTTGATAATCCACACCTCTGATTTGTTTTGTATCTTTTGCCTGCTTTACCTCCTCCAAAGGCTTTTCTTGAGTCTCTCCAGGTACAAGTGAAAATTCCCTTTGTTCTTCCACAATACCACTATATGTGGCAAAATTTACTGCTTTTTGCATTTACTTGTTTCTATATCTGCTTTCCCTTAAGTTTCTTTTTTTTTTTTTTTTGAGACAGAGTCTCACTGTGTTACCCTGGCTAGAGTGCTGTGGCGTCAGCCTAGCTCACAGCAACCTCAAACTCCTGGGCTCAAGCGATCCTCCTGCCTCAGCCTCCCAAGTAGCTGGGACTACAGGCATGTGCCACCACGCCCGGCTAATTTTTTCTATGCATTTTTAGTTGTCCGATTAATTTCTTTCAAATTTTTAGTAGAGATGGGGTCTCACTCTTGCTCAGGCTGGTCCCTTAAGTTTCTTGAAGACCCTGAGGAGACTGAGGCTGTCTTAGTCAATACTTTTTTTTTTTTTTTTTTGAGACAGAGTCTCACTCTGTCACCCCAGCTAGAGTGCCGTGGCGTCAGCCTAGCTCACAGCAACCTCAAACTCCTGGGCTTAAGCGATCCTCCTGCCTCAGCCTCCCCAGTAGCTAGGACTATAGGTGCATGCCACCATGCCCGGCCAATGTTTTCTATTTTTTGTAGAGATGGGGTCTCACTCTGGCAAGTTCCTGAGCTCAAGCGATCCTCCTGACTCAATCTCCCAGAATACTAGGATTACAGGTGTGAGCCACTGTACCCAGCCTACATTAACTAAAGCCTAGTTTAGAGACTAGCACAAAGTACTTGACAAAAACGGTTAAATTAACCACATGTTCATAATTTCTGATTACCACAAATAATGGAGAAGATGCTACGTTTTTATCTATCAAAAGCAGCAGTATCAATAATGTAAAAAGATAAAGACCAATTTGTGTCTTCTGCTACCAACATTACTAGATCAATGGAGCAATCTAAGGCACATCTTGATCCCCCACAAGACACAGACGGAGGACCATAATGTTGGCTTCTTTCTTTTTTCCTTTGTTTCCCACCACTCCACTTCACCTGGGGTTGTTTTCATTTTATTTTTTTGTTGTTTTACCCCACCCCATTTTTATTTGAAAAAGTAAAATCTGATACTATGTGAATTAAAAAAAAAAAAGTCAGTCCCACCAGTCAACAAAGAAATGGCAAGACTTAAGAATATCAGAAAATATCACCTAAGAAGAGAGGTAAGTTATAATACCTGCCAGAGTATAGAGAAATTGCTCTTCTCCCTGTTCTACTTGGTTCCTTCTGTTGTCTAAAACCTTCTTGACTGTGTCCATTAGGCCAAATGTATGGGCTACGTTGTTGAGAACAGCAGCATCTATTTAAAACAAAAAACATGCCTGTCAAGTTAAAACAGAAATGTTCCACCAATTCCCTGTTGTGCTGCTTATAAATATGGAACAACCCAGAAATTATGGGACTCTCCTAATTGCATATTAATAAATTTTTAACAAAGATTTATCACATGTATAATGAAATTTGCTTTGTTATATTTTTGTCTTTCCTTATAAATAAATACAAAAACCAGGAAAAAAAAATCTTGCAGCTGTTTATAGGTTCAGACTTTTGGTTTAGAAAACATGGTCACTGTATTAGAGCTAAATTTGAATCTCAGTTTTGCTACTTCCTATCTAAAGTTATTTGACTCCTCAGTTTTCTCATCTGAAACAAATGGGACTAATAATACTTACTCTGCAAAATAGATATAAAAAATTATAAATATCATACTTTAAGTGCCAAACATGGGGACTGGCATGCAACATTATTACTAATAGTATTACCTCTGTTCCCCTCTACATACAACTTTTTTTTTTTAAAGATGGGGTCTCACACTGTCACTGAGAGTGGAGTACAGTGGCACAACCACAGCTCACTGCAGCCTCAAACTCCTGTACTCAAGTGATCCTCCCACCTCATCCTCCTGAGTAGCTGGGACCACAGGTGCACAACACAATGCCCACCTAATTTTTTATTTTTTGTAGAGACAGGGTCTCGCTGTTGCCCCAGCTAGTCTTGAACTCCTGGCCTCAAGGGATCCTCCTGCCTTGGCTTCCCAAAGTGCTGGGATTACAGGCGTGAGCCACCTTGCCCAGTCTATATAAAACTTTAAAAGAACTGTGTGTATTCATGGTCATTATTTCCTGGACTTGGACAACTTCACCTACACTGCCTTCCATGGTCTTCTCACCCAGCTTGATGGTTTTAAATAACATGTACATGCTGAGAACTCCCACATGTAGATCTCTAGCCCTGACCTCTTTCCTGCATTCCACATTTATACTTACAGTTATAGGAGTGACATCTCCATTTGATGGCCTCATAGTCATCTCAGTTTAACAGGTCAAAAACTAATTTTGATTTCCTCTCTAAACCTATTCCTCCCACAGTGTTCTTTATCTCAGTAAATGACATCAACACTCAACTCAGGCCAAAAATGTATGAGTCATCCTGGGTATCTTTTTTTCTCTTTCACCCTACATCCAATCCATCAGCAAGAGTTGTCAGTTACACATTCAAAATATATCCCCGATCTGATCACTTCTTCCTAGGTCTACCGCTGCCCACTCTAATCCATGCCACATCATCTCTTGCTTGGATGAATTTCTTTAAGAGTTTCCCAACTTCAACTGGTCTTCTTGTTGACATTCTTGGCCCATGTAGTCTATACTCTACACAGCAACCAGAGTGCTCTTTTAAAAAATATAAATCTGGGCTGGGTGTGGTAGTTCATGCCTGTAATCCCAGCACTTTGGAAGGCTGAGGTGGGAGGATCACTTAAACCCAGGAGTTTGAGACAGCCTGAGCAACACAGCAAGGCCCCATCTCTATAAAAAAACTTTTTAAAAAAATTAGCTGATGCTTGCTGATATTTTCTTAAAAGAAAAAAATAAATAAAAATAAAAAATTAGCTGAATGTGGCGGTGTGCTCCTGTATTCCCAACTACTTGGGAAGCTGAGCCAGGAGGATCACTGGAGCCCAGGAGTTTGAGGTTGCTGTGAGCTAGGCTGACGCCA